AGTTGGGGCTGTTCAGCCTGGACAAGAGAAGACTGCGTGGAGACATCAGAGCACCTTCCAGGATCTGAAGGGGCTCCAGGGAAGATGCAGAGGGACTCTTTGTTAGGAGCTGCAGTGACAGGACAAGGGGCAATGGGTACAAATTGAAAGAGGGCCAATTTAGCTTAGATATTGGGAAAAAGATTTTTCCTCTGAGGGTGGTGAGACACTGGCACAGGTTGCCTAGGGAGGCTGTGGGTGCCCCAACCCTGGCAGTGTTCAAAGCCAGGTTGGATGAAGCCTTGAGCAACTTGCTGTAGTGGTGGGAGGTGTCCCTGCCGATGGCAGGGGGTTGGGACTAGATGATCTGTATGGTCCATACCAACCCCTAAAATTCTCTGATTCTATGACTGTCACAATAGAACCTAAACAGATAATAACTCTTAAGTCTGGAAAAGAGAAGGTAGGAAGGAGGTGAGAGGAATGCCACAGATCTATAATGTCTTGAATGGTGAGAGTAGATAAATAGTGAATGAATAGTCCCTATTCCTCATCGCCCCAAAAACCCCTAGGGCACCCAATGCAATTATGAGATAACAGACCTAAAATTAACAAGAGAATAGAAGTATTATGCAACTCATCCCAAAGTCTGTATGTATAAGAAAAGCTCAAGGAGAGGGTAGTGGAGAGAAGTCTGTTACAAACCACATCAGTCCAGCTGCTGCTTCCTCCTCAGGAAGTCGTCCCTAGGTCAGCACTTGCCAAAGACAGTAAAGCCATGCTGGTGAAAGGACTACTTTCTATTTACCCTACTTTATTTCCACACATTCGTTCCTGGTCAGTGTTAGAGATCAGCCCTGGTTAAAAGGACCTACACTATGATTCACTACAGATACACGTTAAGAGTTCTTGCACATATATATCCTATCTGCTGCTTTTCATCGTGTGTGTACAATGATGCACATTCATAGGATGTGCATCTTTATGTGTTACCAGATTTATTGAAATGCATACTGCTGCTGATTTCTCTAATTATTCTTCCTACTGAAAGTGTTATCCTTGAAATTTGCAAAGAAAAGTTGCTGCCCCATGAATTACTTTGTTTAAGGAAAAGGAAGAAAGATAGTCTGGAGAAGAGGAGGCTCAGGGGAGATCTTCTTACCCTCTACAACTCCCTGAAAGGAGGTTGGGAGTTGGTCCTTTCTCCCAGGCAACCAGCAGGAGGACAAGAGGGCACAGACTCAAGCTCTGCCAGGGGAAGTTTAGGCTGGATATTAGGAAGAGACTTTTTTTAAGGAGAGAGTGATCAGGCATTGGAATGGGCTGCCCAGGGAGGTGGTGGATTCACCATCCCTGGCGATTTTCAAGATGAGACTAGATGTGGCACTTAGTGCCATGGTCTAGTAATCACAGTAGGGTTGGACTTGATGTTCTACAAGTCTTTTCCAACCTGATTGATTCTATGATTCTATGAAATATTTATGGGTAGCATGAAAGAGGATTAAGACCTCGCCCAAGGGTGAACCTTGCAGAGAAGAGCTGTAACTAGAAACCAGTCAAACCTACATCGTGGAGGTGGATCAGGCGGTGACATTGTGAATGGGTTACCTTTGAAGGGGGTACCTCTGCTAAACTCAATATAGGTTGGTAAGACCACTCAGAGGCTTTTGGACAGAGCTGTCTATTTTCTACCCTGGCATCTGGTACCTAAACCTGCAGAGAACTGATGAAATATAGTGTCAGTACAAATGTGTTTATATACACACATTAAGCAGTCCCCTTTTATGTGAAGATGGCGTAGCATCAAAGTATGTTATGCACTTCTGCACTATGGCTTAAAAAATTAAGTAGGAACAAATCAATCTGTAAATCATTTTCAATTTGGGTACCAGGGTCCTGGACAGTAAACCAAGTCAAGAAATAAGCAATCAGGCCTGGAATGACAGGGAAGGAACTGTTCCGAGAACTAGTCACAGATGCTGATGAAAGAAAATAAGGTTTGAACAGACTTCAAAAAGTCTTAGTCATCAGTGGGAATTGGTCAGTCTATATTGCGAGACCCCCACGTGCACTTTTTGAGAGCTGTAGACTACCTACAGCTGTGTGACTTCCTCCTCAGCACAGCCTCATTCTAAAGATTCCAATGACAAACCAAAAACCTCAAAATAAAACCTGGAATATGTTACTGTCTTCCAGTGAAAGAGGTTGGACATGGTGTTCTTCAAGACCAAAATAGTGTTTTATATCTGCAGCCTGAACTTCACCTCAAGTACATGTCACCAGTTTTGGCTCAGCACACTGTGCAGGACAAGGTCTCTCCCTGAACCCATGTTTGTAGAGAAGAAATTACCCCACACATATATGCTTTTTCCTTAGGAGTTAATCCCTAGACACTACCCTAAAAATCATGATAGAACAGCCACTGAAGTTGAGCCAGAGTTCTATATTTGGCCTGAATGTAGATTATAACAAAGAGTTCCTTTGAACAGTTGTCAATGCCTCCTCTTCTCAACTGATTACACTACCACAGCTATACACATTGCATCTCCTCCAGTTTCAGTGCACTGGCAGCTGTTGATATATTCATAGTATATTTGGCTTCCGGTATCTTCATTTTGCAACATCATGAGTCCTACTACAATTCTTTGCACCATGTTCTCCTCAGAAAGACCACTAGAAATAGAGTAGCTTCCTAACATTGTATTAGGAACATCTTATGAATCTTTATTTTGGTTAAAAGTAGCTAAGAAAGGGCATATTATCAGGGCAGGCATTTTACAGAAGCTAAACTGGTTTTAAAATACTGCCAGCAAGTTCTATCCCTATATATCAAAGACTATCTATAAAAGACCTTTAATACCTATAATCTTTAATATCAGTATATTAAAGACTTCTGAAATTTTTGAAAGCAAGATCTCAGTTTGTAGCTCCTCTCAATGCAGAACACTCACATTGATGGTTTTGTTAGCTGTGTCCTGCTGTGACATTCCATCTCAGTTTATAAGCAGCATGAGCAAAAACATGCTAAATACAAACTGAAATAATTTTCCTCTCAAGTCTGATCAATACAGCATAGCTGTTCTTCATATGTGTTCAGGACACTTCGAGGAATAGCAAGAGAGATAAAAATGATCTGACAGTTCTGGGCCCCTCTGTTCAGAAGGGATATTGAGGTGCAGGAGCAGGTCCAAAGAAGAGCAACGAGGCTGGTGAAGGGACTCGAGCACAAGTGCTATGAGGAGAGGCTGAGGGAGCTGGGGTTGTTCAGCCTGGAGAAGAGGAGGCTCAGGGGAGACCTTCTCACCCTCTACAACTCCCTGACAGGAGGTTGGAGTCAGGTGGGGGTTGGTCTCTTCTCCCAGGCAACCAGCAGGAGGACAAGAGGGCACAGACTCAAGGTCTGCCAGGGGAGGTTTAGGTTAGATATTAGGAAGAGATTTTTCAGGGAGAGTGATCAGGCATTGGAATGGGCTGCCCAGGGAGGTGGTGGATTCACCATTCCTGGAGGTTTTCAGGATGAAACTAGATGTGGCACTTAGGGCCATGGTCCAGTAACAACAGTAGGGTTGGACTTGATGATCTTGGAGGTCTTCTCCAACCCAGTTGATTCTATGATTCTATGACATCTGCACTTGTATGAACAGCCTATACAGTATAAAAAATACTTGCATGATTTCAATGTATGTTACTGTTTTCATACAGCATATTAACCAAGTCATGAGTAAACCAAAAATGGGTTGATCCTGATTTCCTTTACATGTTTCTTGAGCTAACAGGGCAAGGCCTGCACTGAAAAATGAAGGAATACAAACCTATCCCAGGGCACTGTACTTTAAAGTTCACTCACTGTTCCTATTGAGGATACAGCAGCTGTAAATACCCTCAAACAACTCCAGCGACTTCTTGAAGTCCCATGGACCAGGGGCTACACAAATAGGTGAGAAGTTGCAGCTTGTTCATTCCCTAAGCCAGTGTTGAGCTGGTCCAAATAAGCACATTTGGTTTGTATAGGACATTCTTCCCAGCAGGTCTCAAAAAGCTTTAAGGAGATCAATACCATTATTCTTATCTTACAGCTGGGGAAAATGAAGCATAAAAGAGTCATTCCTCTGAGATCACATGGCAGACTGATGCCATAGATCAGGATGAGATGTAGGGCTCCTGTGCTCTAGTCCAAAGCACTACCAAATTCACCTTTGCATCTGATGAAACTGTTCCAGTCCAGTGAAGACAGTTAAGCATGGTCCCCCTAATATACTTGTATGAATTTCCAGTAGATGAAATGTAAGAAGTCCCACCTGGGTGAAATACCAGAGCCATCACCTCCTCCCTGTAGCCGTTCACTTTTTTTAAATCTTCCAGCAGAGAGCCCAGAGAACAGCTACCTAGACAGGGGAATCACCAGCTGCACGAGGTACTAAAGCCTTCTGCAGCGGCACTATTAAACTATTCCCAGCTCTTGTCTTCACACTTAGTCTGTGCTGTTGCCTACTGGCTCAGTTCTGCGAGGTTAAAGACTTACTGACATAAGTTCTCAGCACTATAGAAATTAAACAGAACGTCCGCAGTGGTGTCCTGAATTTATTCAAACTGTTTGCAGAGCTCACAATTTTGGCAAGTTCCTAAACATAGATATTCTCTAAAGATTCACTGTGGCCTCTGCATCTTTTTTCTGCTCTATGGAAACACTTTTATCTCTTGCTAGAATCTCTTCGTGTTTCTAACACCTAAGAATCATACAACTAGTTAGGTTCATTTTTGTTTCAGCTATTCCTTAAACCAGAAACACTTTCTGTGATCCAGACTGCTGGATTTGAGAGTTAGCGCTTTAAAGCCACAGTCTAAAGCTACTTCTGGTCTCCACCAAAATGAAAATATATCTAGGTGATATTAGACAAGAACAAATTTAGGAGCCATCAATGACCAGACTGATGACAGATGATTGACTCAGACAGCTGATAAATTTACCGATATAAATTTAAATGTCCTAACACTATCATCAAATAATAAATCCAACTTACCTGTGAAGAGCTTCTGTGGTAAGCTGAATAGTGAAGTGGTCCAGAAATAGCAGTATCATGTGGTAAGGATGGATACTGACTCTGTATTGGATGGGGATGCTGGTTGCTATAGCTTCCATAGTTGTAACTCCCTGTGTATCTAAAACACATTAAAAAACACTTTTAGTATGTACAATGGTTGTATTCCCACTAATAATTCCAGAACTTTTATGAAACATACAGTTGAACTTTTTAGAACAGAAGAATGATATTTTAACTGGTTTTAAAGAAGGTATTTCCCAGCTCAGATGGGAAGCAGATGCTGTGTAGTGAACCTGTGTGTCCAGCACAACAACCGAGAGACTCAGCCTGTTTCTGTGACTGATTTGAAACTGCAGACTCAGTTGTGCACTTTCTAAGGAAAAAGTGCCTTTTTCTTTTATTACTATTTTCATGCCATGCTTCTAGAAAAGTGCTATCCAGGCTGAGGAAGTATGGTAAGATTTGACTTAACTGCACTAAGGAGTTCAGCTATCTCTGTGCACTGCAGGCACATGTTCCTCTTGTGGGAAGGAGAGAGATATATTAGTTTGCAGCTGGTACAGCTTTAACACAGCCAGCTCCAGAAGAGAGTGGGATGTGGGGCTGGAGAACCTGTCTACTTTCTTTTTTAATTTCCAGCTTCCTGCCTAGGGACAGCCAGGGGCAAAGGAGGGAGCAGTTTCCATAGCTATAGGAGACTTCAGGGTCAATGTTTGTTGTCATCATCGTTTGGACCAGTCACTAGCAGAAGGTGCAAAAACACTTGCTGCAATTTCCCTATCTCTATGTAACCATGTGAACATTTGCTCTTTGTTGCCTTCCAGAAAAGTTGATCTGCCTAGATGTTTCCTCAAATCACCATAATCAGTTAAACACCAGAGGCAAGAGATTCCTTTAGGAACAATGAATTCTCACGTATATACACACATATATTCTATGTACACTGCCCTACTGAGGGCTGTGCCAGTTCTTGCATCCTGTTAGTTCCTGAACCTCTCTGCTGCTCAATTTCTGCCTCCAGCAAACAGTTGTGTTGCTGGATGGATGTGTCTTATCTCCGTATTAGGAGATAATCTGGGAGTTTGGGTAGACAGAAAGCTGAACAGGAGCCAGCAGTGTGCTCAGGTGGCCAAGAAGGCCAATGGCATCCTGGCCTGGGTCAGGAACAGTGTGGTCAACAGGACCAGGGGAGTGATTCTGCCCCTGGACTCAGCACTGATGAGGCCACACCTTGAATACTGTGATCCTCTGTTCAGGAGGGATATTGAAGTGCAGGAGCAGGTCCAGAGAAAAGCAATGAGGCTGGTGAAGGGACTCGAGTACAAGTGCTATGAGGAGAGCCTGAGGGAGCTGGGGTTGTTCAGCCTGGAGAAGAGGAGGCTCAGGGGAGACCTTCTCACCCTCTACAACTCCCTGACAGGAGGTTGGAGTCAGGTGGGGGTTGGTCTCTTCTCCCAGGCAACCAGCAGGAGGACAAGGGGGCACAGACTCAAGCTGTGCCAGGGGAGGGTTAGGTTGGGTATTAGGAAGAGATTTTTTAGGCAGAGAGTGATCAGACATTGGAATGTGCTGCCCAGGGAGGTGGTGGAGTCACCAGCCCTGGAGGTTCTCAAGATGTGGCACTTGGTGCCATGAGTGGTAGGCTTAGACTTGATGATCTTGGAGGTCTTTTCCAAGCCAGTTGATTCTATGATTCCAAATAGCACTGAGAAGAATCTTTCTCTATCTTCTTTACATCCCCCAGGAAGTGTTTATACACATGGGTAAGACTCTTCATGAGTTTTCTCTGCCTGATACTAAATGATCTCAGCTCTCTCAGCCTCTCTTTGTATGACAGGTTGTCCAGCACCATAGCCATCTAAATTGTCCTTTTCTGAAACTGCTCCGCTATGCCTATGGCTGGCTTGTACTGGGGAGCACAGAACTGGACCCAGATGTGGTCTCAGCAGTGCTGACCAGAGGAGAAGGATCCCCTCTCCTAAAACATGGTATAGTAGGGTTGTTCTTTAGGCACATCTAACCTTTGAGATTAAACATGACACAGGAAAACAGGAATCAGAGAAGAAATCTACTGAAGCTGTCGCTTGAAGAAAATATCCTCCAAGCCTACTGTGGTTTTAAATGGAACTAAATGAGATTATAAAACTAAGACATAATATATTTATACAACAGCAACAACAGCCAAAGAATTATGATACCAACATCTTGGCAATACAGACTTACTACATCAAGAATCAGTTTCAACTGTATTTCAAAAAAAGCAAACCCCAAGCATAAGTTCATCCAAAACCCACCAAAAGTCCTGGGAAGTGACTTACCCATGTTCTTCTCTGTGGGGATAAACAGGTATCCGGTGTGTGACGGATGATGAAGGTACATGTGGAGTTCTCATGCAGGGCAGCTGTTGAGAATTTTCAGCAGGTGACCCAGCAGCTGTTGTCACAGTGTAGGTGAGTGACCATGTGTAGGATTGCATAGCCCCTGCAGTCAGACAAGTGTTAAAGGAGCATGGTTACCATAGGCTGTTATCCGTAGAGGTGTCATGTTCTGAGACAACAGTAGGGAAACAACTGAATAGGCAACGATAATGGAAAGGGCATCAACCAAAGTGAACAAAGAAGTCATATCTGAGGCATAGATAAAAAAATACATAGATCACTTGGAGTGTGCAAAGATCCAGAGGTATAAAACATGGCTGGGAAGTCACACTGTGAACTTCCAGTCCAGGGTTTAAAAAAAAACCCTGGGATAGGACTAGAAATGGAGGAAGAGCAGTGCTAAGATTTCTCAGGGTGATGCACCATACCCTGAGGTCTCTCACGTGGAGAGAGCTGCTGGCCTGTTAAGCTCTGAGGCTGTTCAGGCCTGGACTGGGGCAGGAAGTATGTTCTGAACAAGGAGGATTAGAAAGAAATGGGTGTTAGGCAGATAAATATCTTGAATCCTTTTGCTGTTGTTACCTGTTCTACCTGAGTATGTGCCAACCCTTGTAGTGGCAACACTACAGAGATCTCCAAATGATAACAAGTACATCGACAGAACCAGCCTAGCTGTTTCCTTCCTGCAAATATTGTTCCTTTTTTTTTTGTAGCAGCAGGGGCTGGACGTAATTTATGTTGTCATGTAAAGCGTTTGTGGGAAGAGTAAAGCAAAGAAGAGAGTTTTCCATTTTGCTGGGAAGGTGCTGAGTTTTTTAATCATCCTGATCCCTTCCAGGCAGGAACTCCAGTTTCATGAGCCAGCTGCTGAGAAAACTCTGTCATTTGCACACACCCCTTTCACTCAGGAGGCTGACAGATCCATTGTTCCAGTATAACATCGCTCTTGCTGGAGGTCATGATCATACTGGCTGAGATTACCCTGCAAATGAGGACGAGAACACTGAATTTAACCCAGTGCAAGCACTAGTTTGGGGGTCTCTGGTCACTTGACTTTTTCACTAGCTAAAAGGAATTGCAGGAGGTGACTGGGTTGGGTTTTTTTCAGTATGGATTCTAAGACTTCCTATAGTATGAAAGGGCCTAATTCAGAGGGGAAAGTGATTGTACTACCAGGTCTGCGTCCACTCTATGGCTTTGGGGAATGAAAAGCCTCTCTCAGATGTACATAATTTGCTTCAGGTGTGGGGGATTTTATTCGGCAAAATCAGGCAAATAAGTGTTTTACATGGGAAATACTTAATTCTGGGCCTCAGTGGGTAACAAGGTTAAGTCAAGCTTGCAACACTTCATCAAGGGTGTGATTTAGTGCCCTTATAATAGACATCCTTGGATGTGTTATGGCCAATCATAGAATTTTAGGGGTTGAAATGAGCCTTACAGATGATCTAGTCCCAACCTCCCCTGCCAGGGGCAGGGACACCTCCCACCAGAGCAAGTTGCTCAAGGCTTCATCCAACCTGGCTTTGAACACTGCCAGGGCTGGGGCAGCCACAGCCTCCCTGGGCAACCTGTGCCAGTGTCTCACCACCCTCACAGGGAAAACTTCTTTCCAATACCTAACCTGAATTTCCCCTCTTTCAATTTGTACCCATTGCCCCTTGTCCTGTCACTGCAGCTCCTAAGAATCCCTCTGTATCTTCCCTGGAGCCCCTTCAGATCCTGAAAGGTGCTCTGATGTCTTCACGCAGTCTTCTCTTCTCCAGGCTGAACAGCCCCAACTCCCTCAGCCTGTCCTCATAGGGCAGATGCTCCAGTCCTCTTAGCAACTTTGTGGCCTCCTCTGGACTTGCTCCAACAGTTCCATGTTCTTCTTTATGTTGAGGACACCAGCACTGTGGGCAGTATTCCAGGTGGGTCTCACCAGAGCAGAGTAGAGGGGGAGAATCACCTCTTTTGACCTGCTGCCCACACTCCTTTGGATTCAGTCCACGGTTTGATTGGCTTTCCAGGCTGTAAGCTCACACTGCAGCTTATGGTGAGTTTCTCACCAACTGTCATGCCCAAACCTTTCTCCTCAGTGCTGCTAAGGGTATTTGTGATAGGTTTGGTTTCACGTGGCTGCATTTTCTACCACTGACTCTTGAATTTTCAGTCTTTCATGTTCTCCCATTGCAGAGGAGCACTGAGATCCCCAAGACTGAGAAGCAGCTGGCCCAGCAGTGTTGCTGTGGATGTAAGCAGTCATGGCCCCTTGAATTGAGCACTATTTTTAAGGAAGCCTGCCTTGGCTAAAAAATAGAATTTATATGGAAGGGGCCAAAACTGCTAATGCAGTCACCAAATAACTTCATTTGAAAACAAGAGAAAAGCTATTTTGAAAATATCAACAACTTGTCTGCAGAATATTCTTATGAAACATTTCAGTCTCAAAAGGTCAGCATATTTTCCTAGTGTTATCTTCCAAAAGAAAATTTGAAACTTTGTTGTCCTTCTTTCTTTTCTCTTTGTTTTTTTGTCTTTTGAATTTAGGCCTGTTTTTAAACAAAGTCATTGAAAAAATCCCAAACACTTATTTCTAGGTAACATTATTGTTTGGGGTTTTTTTCCCCAATACTTTTCATGCCATCATAAACCTAAAGTTTTACTTTGACCCTATTTTATCTTTTCCAAGGAAAAAAATTGGCAATTGATCCAATTATCTCATGGCCTTCCTAGCTCTAACAGGAAGCAGTAACCACAGGGACTAAATTGGGGGCTGGTCTCTTCTCCCAAGCAACCAGCAGGAGGACAAGAGGGCACAGACTCAAACTCTGCCAGAGCAGGTTTAGGTTAGATATTAGGAAGAGATTTTCTTACAGAGAGAGTGATCAGGCATTGGAATGGGCTGCCCGGAGGGGTGGTGGATTCATCATTCCTGGAGGTTTTCAAGATGAGACTGGATGTGGCACTTAGTGCCATGTTCTAGTAACCACGGTAGGATTGGACTTGATGATCTTGGAGGTCTTTCCCAACCTGGTTGATTCTATGATCTAACATGGTGATTTGACTCATCCCGGACATTGTGACAGTCTCCTTTCCTTTCTGTGAGAAATAGTAGGGAACTGATCACAGTTTGAGGAAAAATGAGTCAGTCCAGGACAGCAAGTTGTTTCCTGTGATCCCTGTGGGAAATCAAACTCTTTGGATGAGAGATGTCATTCCTGGCAGTCAGGTCTAACTGGCAGCCACCTCAGTTCAACTTCAAATAAATATTTAGAGTGGAACTTGCTTTGTGCTTGTCCAGATATCATAGAAGGAAATACAGAAAGTAGGTCTTGCACTGGAAGAGTTGGGAATATCTTGGTTTAATTCTCCTAATCCAGAATTGTCTCAGGTACAACAGCATAGTCCCTCTGTCATGATTTAACCCCAACTAACAACCAAGAACCACGCAGCTGCTCACACAGTCCCCCACCAACAGGATGGGGGAGAGAATCAGAAGGGTAAAAGCTAGAAAAACTCATGGGTTGAGATACAGACAGTTTAATAGGGAAAGCAAAAGCCACACACACAAGCAAAGCAAAACAAGGAATTAATTCACTGCTTTCCATGGGCAGGAGGTGTCCAGCATCTCCAGGAGAGCAGGGCCCATCACATGGAATGGTTCCTTGGGAAGACAAATGCCATCACTCCAGATGTCCCCCCTTCCTCCTTCTTCCCCCCACTTTATATACTGAGCATGATGTCCTATGGTATGGAATATCCCTTTGATCAATTTGGGTCACCTGTCCCAGCTGTGTCTCCTCCCAAACTCGCATGTACCCTCAAATCCTTGCCAGTGTGGCAGTACGGGAAGCAGCAAAGGCCTTGGCTCTGTGTGAGCTCTGCTCAGCAACAGCAAAAACATCTCTACATTATCAACTCTGTGTTCTGCACAAATCCTTAACACAGCCCCATGCTAGCCACTGGGAAGAAAGTTAACTCCACTTCAGCCCAAACCAGCACACCCTCACACAGCTGCTCTAAGGAAAATCACTTTGGTTTGCAGTTTATGGTTTAGAAACAAAAATACCTTGGGTTTTACTCTGGATTTACAGAATGACAGAAAGCAGTTAAAATATCTTTTTTCAGAGTGTTCTGGGTAATCTAGAGCTGCCTCACTTCTCTTTGCCTTTGTGGAAGGAATGCCATTATTTCCAGTGACCTCGTCACAAATATAGAGAGGAAGGCTTTGTGTAAGTATATATCTGGTCAACCAGGATACTGCCAATGTTGTGGTGGGTGGAAAAGGAGGAATGAGGTAAGTCTGGAAGGTTTTCATTGTTAGCTTTTTAATACCTGTTTTTGTTCCTGTCCTTTATGATTAATTTCCTCAGCTGGTTGCAGAACTGAACTCCAGGAGATGAAGCCTCTTTTAGATATGACTGAACCCAACTGAACTGCTTTTTGAAATAAGCAAAAACAATAGTGATTGAGCAACAATTTGCTCTGCTTTGTGTTCTGAACATGCAGAGTTTGATTAAAATAGAGAAGTTCATTTATTATCACTCCTTCTTCTGTTCTCTTGTGAATAAAACCAAAAAATAGTGATTTTGGGGATACTAACCAACAGTCCATCTGATGTGTAGGGGAGCCTAATATAAATGGAACTGCTATTAGTCCAACAACAGCCCTGTTGTTCCCAGTGCCATCAGTGCAGAAAAAGCCCAAAGGCTGCTGTGTGATGCTGCATTTTATACCTGCTTTATGCTGGAGTAAATGACCCCCAAGGTACAAGTGAGACACTCACAGCACTGTGTATTACGGCTGATAGAAAGCAGTACTGTCAGCCTCAAGCAGTCAGAAATCCAGAGTCAGACCCCCATTCTGTCCCCACACAATGAACAAATTACCTTACCTATGAGCTTCAGAAAAGTACAATCCCTTCCATTTGAAGTTGGAACTGGAACTTTTTACAACACCCTGCAGCTCTGAGAATTAAACTCTGATTGTTGAACAAGAGCTGATGTTCTCAAATGCTCATATCAGTCCAGGAGCTGAAGCTTTAGGGGGAAAACCCCAGAAATTTGTTCTACTCATACACACAAATATGAAAGGTGGTAGTTCTGTGCAAGCATTCTC